CCCACAACATTCTTGCAGGCAAGCTAAGGAAGTATGGGCTAGGTCAGGGGTTGTATGGGCTAGATCAGAGGTACTTAGGAAGGCCCTAGGGGGTACACACAGAAGGGCAGGAACAGCGCTGCCACCCACGACCCCATGCCACCGCCTCCAAGGAGCAGGGCCAGGGCAGGTCAAGGGCAGCAGTGCCCCTCTATAGGCTGCACAGATGTTGCCTAGCTGATCGGACACAGAGGAAACGGGGGAGTTTGCATGCAGCGGCAGCCACCACTGCCATCCACCACCCCACACCACCACTCCATGTTTGGCCACACACCACCCCCTGCTCCACGTCCAGCTGTGTGCCACCCCCACTCCTCCTCCCCACTCCAAGTCCGGCTGCCAGGGGTACACTTATTATAAAGGGTTGAAAACCCCTGGGCTAGATAAATGGACTGTAAGGTGGATATTAAACTGGCTAGAGCACTGGGTTCAGAGAGTAGTAATCAATGACTTAATGTCTAGTTGGCAGCCAGTATCAAGTAGAGTGCAGCAGGGGTTGGTCCTGGAACTAGTTTTGTTCAATGTCTTCATCAACAACCTGGAAGATGGCATAGAGTGCACCCTCAGCAAGTGTGCAGCTGACACCAAGCTTGGGGAAGCAGTAGATAAGCTGGAGGGTAGGGCTAGGATTCAGAGTGACCAAGACAAATTGGAGGATTGGGCCAAAAGGAATCTCACAAGGATCAACAATGATAAGTGGAAAGTCCTGCACTTAGGATAGAATAATCCCGTGCACCAGTACAGGCTGGGGGCTAACTGGCTGGGCAACAGCTCTGCAGAAAAGGACCTGGGGGCAGTGCCGTAGCAAAGGGAAGGTGAGCAGGGAGACTGCCCGGGGCGCTGAAGTGAAGGGGCACCAACAGGCACTGCCCTGCCAGGGCGGGACGTGGGATGGAGCTATGAGCAGCTCATTTGGGGGGAGCGGGGGTGGGGGAAGGGTGGCTCCTGCCACTGTGTGTACTCTCAGGCAAGCATGGGGAGGCATGGGGCCCTGGATCTCTGTGCAGGGTGAGGGTGGGCTGCCACTGCGGGCTTTGCCCCAGATGCCAAATTTAATTGTTATGGCACTGCCTGGGGGTTACAGTGGACAATAAGCTGAATATGAGCCAGCAATGTGCCCTTGTTGCCAAGAAGGTTAATGGCATACTGGGGTGCATTGGTAGGTGTGATGCCAGTAGGCCAAGGAAAGTGATTCTTCCCCTTTTTTCAGCACTGGTGAGGCCACATCTGGAGTACTGTGTTCTGTTTTGGGCCACTACAGAAAAGATGTGGAGATACTGGAGAGGGTCTAGTGGAAGGCGACAAAAATGGTGAGGGGACTGGGAGTTATGAATAAGGAAAGACTGAGAGAACTGGACTTATTTAGTCTAGAGAAGAGGAGACTGAGAAGGGACTTAATAGCCACCTTCAACTACCTGAAGGAGGGTTCAAAAATGGATGGAGCTAGGCTGTTCTCAGCAATGGCAGATGACAGAACAAGGAGCACAGTCTCAAGATGCAGCAAGGGAAGTTTAGGTTAGATATTAGGAAGAATTTTCTCACTAGGAGGGTAGTAAAACACTGGAAGAGGTTACCTAGAGAGGTGGTGGAAGCTCCACCCTTAGAGGTTTTCAAAACCCAGCTAGACAAAGCTTTGGCTGGGATGATCTAGTTGGGGATGGTCCTGCTCTGAGCAGGGGGTTGGACAAGATGATCTCCTGAGGTTCCTTCCAACCCTAACTTTCTATGATTCTTCTGGATATTAGAGTGAAATTATTCGATCAAGGAAAAGCTTTGGATAAACTTCTTCCTACGTACAACTCCCTTGTTTATCATGTATGTAGAGCCAGTTATCAAAGCCTTGTTTGGCAAAGTGCACTCAAACCTAATCCACCACTGAGATCACCTGACCAGTGTGGTTGGCATGCTGAAAGTGATGCTTATGTTCCTATCATAAACACACTTGAACCATTATTAGCATGTTACCTTCAGATAATAAGTTGCAAGTACAAGATGGAATGCTAGGTTCCAGCATGTTCATGCAAGCAGGTTAATGTGCCATGCACTCGTGACTGTGAGTGCTATGAGAAAACATGTTGCAATCCATATAACTACAGAGATTCAGAAATGGATTCAAGTGATGAAAAGATCTGAAAAAACTGCAATGACCCATTGGATTAATATTATATATACCATTGTATTACTATTATATTACCATTGGATTAGACTATTATATTTTCCTATTGTCTTGAGCCAAACTATATGTCTGTGTGTTTCATTGCCATTAAGTTATGTATTACTATCTGACTTATCTGCTTTCCAAAATATAAAAGTATTGTCTTATTCAGTACAACTCAAATAAATATGCTAGGCTGGGTTATAATGTTTTCAGTACTGTAGGCCTCCTAAGTAGTAGAATTTGTGAGGTTTTAGTATTAAAAGTATTATTTACTGGATTTTTAAATTACATTGAGTCAATACATACATGCTAATGTCTCAGCCATCTTGGAATCTGATATGGCTACCATGACAGAAATGTTACGATTGATCTCTTTGGTTCATACAATGCTGGTTTTCTCATTGGAATTAGTTTTCTAACCCTACTGGGGGCTGAAATAGTGACTAAACATGAATTCATGGCAGCCATCTTGGATTCCAATATGGCAGCTACACACACCACCTGTCAGATTTTTCTGACATGGGTAGACCACCTCTATATCAAACACACTGCTGTCACTTGTGGCAATGAGCTGCCTACAACAACAAAATCTAGAGACCTTATTGGTCATTTTATACCCACCTATTAAACATGTTTCGAGTTTTCAGGGAAAACTTAGAAACTGGACTTTTGGGTCTTTGGTGATAAAAAGGAATTACTTAATTGTTAGCTGAAATTTTTTTCAAGAAAAATAAGACATGTCAGAGTCAGTCAATGTCTGGGAGATAAGAGAAACAACAAGGAACAACCACTATTTACTGAAAAAACACTTAAGAAGAAATTTCCCCCTGAACTCTGACTATGAGTGAGCTAGGTCAGGCCCTGGTCAGAATGGGAATTTGTTTGTTTTACATTTCCAAAGCTGTTTAGTTTTAGGTGGCCTCCCTTGTGGTTTCAAAGTAATCTTACCACTTAGCTTGGGAGACTTGGCCATCACTTAGTTCCTCCCTCTCAGGAACACTTTTCCAAATATATAACTTAAGTTTTCCTTTTCTTAGCTTTAAATGATTGTTCTTGGTTCCCCCTGCTGATTTCCACTGAGGAATTCTCTGTTCACTCTGGCACTTACAATCTTCAAGTAACTCTTCCCCATCACTCATCATTTTACCACCTGCTGTAATGACTGTTTGCTTGATCCCAGCAGTTTCACACTGTGCTAGGTGCTGTGCCAGTGCAATAGATGACCTGACTCATAGTCCATGTGTAGAGCAGCTTCCCTATGTGCCCTCCTGAAGAACCTCATGGGCTAGGAAGTTAAACTCTTATTTACTGTATCACTGAAGTGTCAGGAGGCCCAGACCAACATCAGAACTCAACATCAGGACTCAAAATATTCTTGGACTTCAAGAAAGCCTTTCACCTGGTGTCCCAATGTCCTCATGGAAAAATTGGTAACTTGTGGCTTAGACAATTTCACAATCCAATAGCTGGGGAACTGGCTCCATGGATGGACCCAGAGAGTCATAGTTGATGGAACCAAATCAACATGGCATACTGTAACCAGTGGTGTCCCCCAGGGCTCCATTCTTGGACCTGTACTCCTCAATTTGTTTATAAATTATCTGGACTCAAGTGTTATAAGCAGACTGGTGTTGTCAGCAAACTTAGCCAAACTATGGGGAAGTGCAGGAAAACTATGGGGAAGTACAGCTATCCTAGAGGATAGGCTGGCAATCCAGGCTGACCTCAACAGGCTTACAAGGTGGATGGATCAAAACCTGATGGCATTCAACAGTAAGAAATGCAAGGTGCTCCACCTTGGGAGAAAGAACCCATACCACACTTTTGGCTCAGCAGTGCTACACTAGCTAGCACCATGTCTGAAAGAGACTTGGGGGTCATGATTCACCACAAAATGAACATGAGCCACCAATGCGACACCGCAGCCAGCAAAGCAAACAAAACTCTAGCCCTTATCTTCCAATGCATCTCAAACAAGACCTGAAAAGTCATCCTCCCACTTTACTTAGCTTTGGTGAGACTACAGCTGGAATACTGTGTCCAGTTCTGGGCTCTGCAATTCCAAAAGGATGTGGAGAAGTTCAAGAGAGTCCAGAGGAGAGCCACATGAATGATTAGAGGAGAAGAGAGCAGGCCTTATGAGGAAAAGCTGAGAGACACAGGACTCTTCAGCCTGAAAAATTGTAGGCTCAGGAGTGACTTGGTGGCAGCCTATAAATATATAAGGGATGTGTACCAGGACAGTGCTGGCGGCATCTGCGGGAGTTGCCAGCTTACCACCACCACACTCCCACCACCCCACTCCCACTGCCAGCACAGCCATGCCCCCCACCACAGCCACTGGGGGCACGCATCTTTCATGAAATTCTGATAATGCTCTGAGCTGTGCAGGGGGTTGAGGGCTATTGGCTTATGAGTACAGACTGTTTAACTCTAGATAAAGCTATACAGTTCTTATAATGGTGAGAATAGGGAGATCATCTGATTTAAAATGACTAAGCAGGATATTTCAGTGTCAGACTAGTAGGATTCAAGATATAGGAAAAAACTTTCTTAGTTACCAACTGCAACTTTAACAAATGTTCTGGTACATAGATACAAATTAAGAGTAATCTAAGTGTCTTTAGGCTCAAATTCAGCAAGGAACATAAACATGGGCTTAAAACCAATTAATCCAATGGGATTTAGCTGGGCATTTAAAGTTAATTACCTGTTTAAGTACATGGTTGAGTCTTTGCTCTAATGTTAGAGCAGGATTGCAATCATGGACCTAGTGAAGCATGCTTACCTTCCATTACAATTCTCCAGGAAGCACAGAAGGTGAGGTGAAGAGGAACACAGGGATATGAACTTGAAGGCTGGAAATCCTCATTTAGCCGGGACACAAAAGGCTGTACTGTACTATGACCAAATCGGAAAGCCAGTGAAAACACGTTTGTCACAGTGGGATCAACTGACTCATTATAGCCACTGTACAGTGGTACCCACTTCTCCTTCTCATCTCCAAATACACGGGGCAGGTAGTCTCTGTATGTTATTATCTGGAAAGGAGACAGGGTTAGCAGCTCATGCATACATTTTCTAAAGGAGAAAAAATTATCATTTTCCAATGTTGGCTGGCCATAATTTTCTGCCGAAGTGCAAAATGCTAATTAAAAGTCTCCAAACCCAGAAATCCATCAATTAGGCTTCTCCAGGCACATCACTCCATGCCTGCTCTTGCAGGCCTGGTGCAGCCTCACTGGCAACCTTCCAGGATTGGAGCATGTCATCAGGTGGTAGGGCATGTGCAGCCCAACTCAGGCAGGTTCTGCTGTTGCCATTGTATAGACAAGGCTTAGGAGCCCTGGCCTGACAGACTGAAGCCAGGAAAGCCCAGGTGGAAAGGCTGATTTCTGACCCCATGTGAGATTCAGTGGTAGGAAGTCAAACAATTGGGTCAGAAGAGAGCAGGGCAGCTCAGAACAGGAGCTTCTGATGTGTACACCTGGTTCTGGTGAGCAAGGAGCTCTGTATCTGTGGTACTGAAGGAGAAGCCCTTCTCAAAACAGCTCCAGTCACACAAGATTCAGCTCTTGCAGTATGTCAGAGTTGAGGGTTCAATGCAGAAGCCTGAAACACTGTCTCTATGAGGCTGATTTTGGTCTGGGAATGCTCTCTCAGACTTGCTGCAGCTCAGTGCTATGAGGACAAAAAGTGCTGCCTGAGAGACACAGACATTTCTTCCTGCTACTACCCCAGGATGATGGATTTGGAATTAACTCTTTTACATCACAGGCCCAGCAAACAGCATCTTATCCAAAGGCATGATGGCTTGGAGCCAGGCCTCCTCCTGGCTTTTTGCCTCTGACAAAAGGAGCTTCAGAACAAACCTAGTTCTGCCCTACACTGATTCTTTGCTGATCTGTTACAGGCTGTCTGCTGTTGCACCAAATGCAGTATTTGCAGAAAAGGAGGCCTCCCTTGAACTGCCAGGTCAGGGTTCCAGCACAAAAGCTAACATTAAATCTTCCTCTGTAGTTAAGGAAATCTGCAGAGCACTGTGTGTAAAGCCCTAAAGAGGAGAAAAAAGCACGGCTGTGAGGATAAAAACATAGCAGAGGGACTTACAACCTAGAAATGTGCTCAAAACATTTCGATCTTCACAGACAGTTCCAAGAAGGAAAGATAAATCATGTCCAAACCTGAGTAAGAAATTGTCTTAGTCATTAAGTATTTTTAAATGTGTTCCTGACATGGTGCTGGGTGCTTTTTATTAGTGATCCATGCTAATTAAAAGCGTCAACGCATCATGTATATCAGTGGTGCAGCGCATCCCCATGCTGAGAAAATGGAGGCGGCACTTTGAACTAACGCATATTGAACGTGTTTTATTTCAAAGCACACCACCACCATTTTCTCAGTGTGAGGACATGCTACACTAATGATACACATTGTGAAGAGGGACTGGTTAAAAAAAAAGAGATCCAGGGAACAAGAAACACAATTGCGATCACGCCAGGAGAATGCCGTTTCTGGAGCAGCTGTTATTTGAAGTTGGAGAGACCCGGCACAGCATTGTCAAGACGGAGATAGATAAGATGTTGGCTCAGGAAGTAATAACAGAATCCCGTAGTCTATGGCATAGCCGCCTAGCAGTTGTATCCAAACAAGATAGCACCTTATGATTGTGTGTAAACTTCAGAAAATTGAATGCAATTTCAAAATTCGATGCTTTCCCTATGCCTCAAATTAGTGAATTACTAGAGAGAGTTATTAGTGAATTACTAGAGAGGCACTATTCATATCCACACTGGATTTGACTAAAGGGTACTGGCAATTATGCGTGCGAAAAGATGATCAAGCAAAAACCACTTTCGGTACACCTTGGGGATTATATGAATTTAAATGTATGCCATTTGGCCTACCTGGGGCCGCAGCCACGTTCCAATGACTGATAGATTGGATCTTAGCCCCACACCAATGATATGCTATGGCATACATAGATGATATCATTATTTATATTAATGACTGGGAGCAACACTTAGAAGCCCTGTGGGCAGTCATATACGAGTTGCGATTAACTGGTCTGATGGCAAATCCAAGAAAATGTGCGCTCGGAAAAGCTGAGACTAAGTAGTTAGGTGTCATGGTAGGCCAGGGATGTATTAGTCCTCTAACAGACAAGATAGAGGCTATCTGAGACTATACACCACCCCAAACAAGGAAACAAATGCGGGCCTTTCTAGGATTGGCTAGTTACTATCACCAGTTCATTCTACATTATACTGAAGTAACAGCCCCATTAACAGACTTACTAAAGGGAAGAGGTAATGGACCCCTCATGGGGAGCAAAGAACATATGGAAGCTTTCTGAAAAATGCAACAGTCCTTGTGTAAGGAAGTGGTGCTTCACAGTCCCAACTTCAACCATCCTTTTGTCCTATAGATGGATGCATCCAACAAAGCCGTGGGAGCGGTGTCGACACAAGAGGTGGATGGCGTGGAAAGTCCTATTGCCTATGCTAGTAGGAAGCTACAACCCCAGGAACAAAGGTACACCACAATCAAATGTGAGCGCCTGGCCATTAAATGTGGGGTAGAATATTTTCGCTACTACCTCTTAGGATGCAAGTTCACATTAATAATGGATCATGCCCCTTTGAAGTGGCTAAAAACCACTCAGACTGATAATGCACAGATAACTCGTTGGGTCCTTGCCTTACAACCTTTTCATTTTGATATCAAATTTAGGCCCAGCCGAGCCAATGTGGTGGCTGACTTCCTTTCCCGATGTCACCCAAACAAAAACTACCCAAAGAAGCATAACACCACTGCAGATGAAAACTATGAGAGGATGCAACAAAAAAAGGCACCTGACAGCATCTTAAGGGGAAGGATGTGTGAAGAGGGACTGGTTAAAAAAAGAGATCCAGGGAACAAAAAATGGAATCACGATTGCACCAGGAGAATGCCGCTTCCGGAGCAGCTGTTCTTTGAAGTTGGAGATGTCGCAGCACAGCGTGCAGGGAGAGGGAAGGCTGAGTGTGTTTTTGAGAGAGGATCGAGACAGAGGAATCTCAGGAGCTGGTCTGATCTGGAGAGAAGGCTCAACCAGAGGGGAGGATCTGGAGTCCCTGAAGAAATAGGGTGCCTCATGAGCCACTCAGAAGAGTAGTGCAACAAGAACAGAAACCGCAAGAAGGAAGAAGCCGTGGATGCTTGTCAGGTTACACAAAGGTCCAGTTCATTCTTCCCTGTTCAGTTTTTATGGGGGTTTTTTTTTTTATTTGATTGGGACTGGGGGTGTTCTGAGTATGTTGGGAAGAGTCCAAATCCGGGTTGTGCTCACACCCAAACAAGAAGGAAGCAGGGGCATACAGAAGGACTTATTAAGGTAATCTCTCCCCACCCCACCCCCCAGAAAAAAACCCAAAATGAAACAAAAAGGGAGAAGAAGAAAAAGATACTGAAAGAAATAGAGAAAAATAATATAAATAGTTCTGAACGTGACTTTAACTTGTTGAGTACATGTCTTTATGGTGTTAAATAAATGCAACAAAGTGTTCTCAAAGGTTTAAATAAAAGTATGTAAAACAGTTTGAAAGATTCACAAGCTGTATGAATGCTCACTGATAGAGGCTGTAAGAAGAAAAAAAGTTAAAAATAAAGAGAATCGATCAACCTTATATGAATTGGACTCAATTCATGATTAAAAATTCTGCGATGTTGTCCAAAGGAACTAGAGGAGAGGGGTAACACAGTCAAAAATCTCTCTATATAGTCAGTGTCCTACTGCATCAATAACACCTCCCAACTGATAACATCAGAATAGATCAAGATATGTCAGGAGACAGTCAGAATATAATGCAGAGGTACACAAATCTGGCAATCAGAGAGATAAGAGCAAAGATAAGCCTCTCAAGTATTAAGGGAAAACCCCACACATGTGATGCATGAGGCTGCCAGACCGTGGCAATTTATGTGCTCCAGCAGACTTGATTAATCGAGTCTGCTCTGATGCGCTGGGTTTCCAGTGCATCAGAGCAGGTTTCGCACATGTGTGTAAGTGCCTTAAGTAAATGGCAGCAACAATGATATTCCAGCTGGTACCTGGGTCATAGCACCTATTATTTTTCGGGCTTCCTGGTAGAGCTTCTCTCCATCCCAGTGGTAATTTAGTTTCCTTAACTCGGCAGCCAGGCGATTGTGTTCCCGCAAAAAGAGGGTGTGCAGAGCTGTAAGCCCCAGATTTTCAGGTGCTCGTGCATCACCTAAACAGATGCAGATTTAAGTAAGTAATTGAACTGTTTTAAAATGTACAAAGGAGATTCTTAAACTGGGTTGGGAGTAATTGAGCAGAAGTGGAGCTGAAAAATTGCCCTTAGTTAAGGTTGACTAGCACTTTTCCTGCCAAAGATTCTGTTTTCAATTGCTTATAATTTTACTAAATAAACCATTTTGACTCAAATTCCCTGTCCAAGTATCTACCCTGGCTGAATCTTTTCTGGATATTTTCAGCACAAATGTGAGAGTGCATGCATGGTATTATTTGGTCAGTATTTAAAAAAATTCTTACACCTATTTCACTGAGGAAGTCCAGTCTTTGGAGCAAGAACTTTTAACTTGGCAGAGGAAAGGCTTCAGTGTTAAAATTGTGGTTGTGTCGCTCCTATGAATAGCAGCCCAAATCTGACAAACTTGTGAGTCTGAAATACTTCACACAGTTCATTTTCTGTAGAAGTTTGTTGGAGGCTGGTAGAAAAAAATATCTAGGTCTTCTCTTTGCCCAGAGCAGCCTCCATATCGTCCAGTCCATGTGGTAGCTGCACCTTGTATGCACTTCCACAGAACAGCTGAGCACCAGGCAACTGGAGCCAAGCAAGATGTTATTAGTCCAAGTGCCCTGGAGAAGCCAAAAAAGGAAACAAGTGGCTTGTTCCTCCGGCACCCTTGTGTACTGCTTGGAGCCCCATAAGGACAGAGGTAAAAGAGAACAACCTAGCTCCAATACCAGGGGATGGGTGCAGGGAGGAGAGGAGTGACAGAACCCAAGGAGATAGGGACAGGAGGTGAGGATGGAGCTCAGATAGGAGTTGAGGACAAGGAGGGAGGGGTTGGGAGGTCTGTAACTACCACAGTATAGTCCCATAAGACCCTGGAACAGACATCAGGATTCCCTAGCCTCAGCACTACTCTAGGTGGCCTGTCCATTGGAAAATACAGTTGTCAGTGACCCTCAAGAGCTGAGGGTCAAGAGGCATGCACCCTGTTCTAGATCTGCTCTAGACCAAAGATGGATTCACTCAAGGCAACCTTAAAGCTTGGGTGACACAGAAAGTCAAACAAGATGATCACAGTTTGCCCATGGGTCTTTAATCTATGAAAGTTTCTCATGATCTCAAGGTCTGGACACAACTTACCTGCTTTAAAACAGGGGATGTTTGCTGTCTTGTTTGTGAAAGTACAGATACTTTTGGTCTTGTTCTCAAAAGGCAGTAATTCTAACCCTGCATCTGTAAATTTCTGGTTCACAGCCATCAAACCCAGCTGGTTTGTCCGATTCCTCAGATACCTAGCCAAAGGTACTTCACTGCCATATACCATGCTGGCATCAATGAAGGAGGTGATTGCATTGATCTGTTCTCGTATAAATGTTCTGGGATTGCACACTGGAGCTGAACGAGTAAGTGGCATACAAATATTTGAGCTCTGAAAACGTGGATCATCTGGAGGAAACTAAAAAACAATAAAAGCAAATTACTCCCAATGAAAACTGTAGATATCCAACTCATATTATGTAGTAATATACCAGTATCAGACCCTTCAGAAAAAGAGATCATATACCTTACTCAAGACAGTTGCGAGAACCTGTTTTTCAGAGGGCGTCAGCATAGAGCTGTGTAAACCCTAATGCATGGTAGAATTAGAATGCTATTAGAATGCTCATTAGCTTTAATTTTTATGTTATATATTAGATTGTATAACTACTCAATCCTTCTTCAAATCTTGCTGAAGTCATGGCCTCAATAAAATCCTGTGACATTGAGTTCTAGTTGTATGAAAATATTTTCTTTTAGATGTTTTAAAATGTGCTGTCCATTCTGTGTCTTTGTGCAGAACTATATGCAATTATGCAATTAGAACCCTAGCACATAGGGATGAAAGGGACCTCACAGCACCATCCAATCCAGTGTTTCCTAAAGTAGAGCATACGTCTCCTGAGGATATGCAGAAAACTTTGAGATATAATGCAAGAAAAAAGAATGGAAGAGGGAAAGGGAAGAAAAGAAAGAATGAACCCCTACACCTCCCCAAAGAGCAATCCTACAATCTCGCTTAGGTTGTGGGATAAATTACAATATAGTTATAGAAAATATGGCAAGGTGACATCTTAAGATAGCTTTACATGTGCTCTGAGATGCTTTAATTAGAGAAGCTTTTGTTTGATGAGTTTTAGTTAAAGTACCCCCACCGCCATTTTGAAGAATGGGAATGCTGAATATATGAGATACTGCGTCTGCTGGAGTGTGCTAATTAACATGTGTCAGAGCAGATGTTGGGTACGTGTATAGGTGCCCTTAAAAACTAACTGGTTTAGAGAGGCATGAGCTTTTGTAGGCAACAATCTACTTATCAGATGCTAGGAATTAGGGCTGTGCAAAGCTTTGGTCCCTGATTCCATTCAGCAGAGACTCGGCCCAATTTGGTGGCTGAATCTCTGAATCTGAATTGAATCAGAGGACCCTTTAATCTCGCCAAATCAATTTGGAAACGTCCGAATCAATCTGGAGAGATTCGGACAGATTTGGCAATTCAGATGTAGATACAGCTTTAAATGTTTTTTCTACATACCTCTGGGTAGCAGGGGATCTGAACGCTCTGATACTGGGGCAGATGCAGTGTCCCACAGAAGCACTGGGGGGGGGGGGCTTCCCAGTGCATTCGGCAGCAAACCCGGAAGTGAACCAGAAGCACTTCCGGTTCACTTCCTGGTCCACTGGAGAGCACACAGGGGGCACCCCCCCTCCAGCTCAGCAACTGGTGCCTCCTTGGTCTGTGGGGGGCACCCAGGGTCCCCCTGTGGCCAATTGCCAAGCTGGGGGCATATGAGGGGGCCCCCCAGCGCACTCCCTGGCAGACCCAGAAGTGGTCCGGAAGTACTTCCTGTCTACTTCCAGGTTCATTGTTGAGCACACTGGAGAGCCCGCCATACTCCTGTGGGACACTCCATCCACCCCAGCACTGCAGCAATCATGAGCCATGCCTGCTACCTACAGGTATGTAGAAGAAAACTTTTAAAGCTGTGCCTGTGTCCTAATCACTGATTCACCAGAACAGCATCGAATCTTCAGATTCGATTTCAGCCGAGACGAATCAGGGACAGTGATCCAAATCAACGAATCAAATCACTGTCCCCGATTTGGGTTGAATCCAAATTGAATAGGGCCCATTTCGCACAGCCCTACTAGGAATGGATTGGTCAAATGCATTAAGGTTCAGGCAAGTATACATTTACAACCATATAAATATAACTGTAGTGACCATGTCTATTATCCATAGCATGGAATCCTAGGAGTATATAGCAGTATAAAACATTTTTAAAGTGTATGGGAGCCCCAAAAATGTGAGAATCAGGGATCTAGTACATCTCTTTGCTTCTAGGCAGGATCCTAGGCAGGATTCCTAAATCATTCTTGTTAGATAAATTTTTAACATGCTCTTAAAAGCTGCCAAAAGTGGAGAGTCCACAACCTCTCTATATCATGTATTCCAGCACAGCTCCCTGGCATCACCTGGGGAGTAATACAAGCTCAGCCTCAGAATACATATGTTCAGCTGTTATTTTGGCAGGTTGCCATCTTATTTTTGCAGAATAGAAGTGACAGAAAGGAAATGGTGATTTGGTAAGTGTTATAGCTCAGCAAACTATGGGGGCTGGCAGGTGTTCATTTAAAAGCATGATGGGTTCTAATCCCCAGTCTCAAAAAAACCACTTCACTTATGCTACATATTCACGGCAGGAAGTGCAATTATTGGGGTCAAGGATCAGTTCCCAACATGTCACTGTCAGCAGGGAGCTTGAGGCATGTGTTGGAAATTTCTGGACTGGTGGGGGAGGAGGGCGGGGGGAAACACGGATTTCAATCAACTCCCCTGCCCTGACAGCTGCAAACCCACAGGCTCTTCTGCCAGAACCCCAGGAATGGGGAGCCTCTTCCCAAACCTGGGATCCCATTCCCATTGGATGTTTAACAACCATGTGTGCAGCCTCTTACCATGTTTCAGTCCCTGTGGCTCGATTGTCTAAAGTTCCTTGACTTTAGATTGAAAGGCATTTTAAAGTGCCTAGCTCTGCAGCTCCCTGGGACCTAAGTCACAGGGCAGCGATGGCTCTGGGGCAAGGAAGAAAAGGCTCCTGGGCATGGGGGATGTCAAGTTCCTGGTTGGGGAGATCCCCTCAGCTCCCCCATACTGGGAAACCTTCCAAGCTGCACCCCTGGCAGCTAATTTTCAGTATTGGGGCTGGGTCTGCAGAAAGTAGCAGACCTATGACCAGATGAATAAAGAGTCACAATGCATAATCATAGACTCCATGCTTCTTGTGGTTAGAAAAGCTTGACACGCACACAGCCCAAGTCCACAGTGGACAGCAAGGGCTCCACTACTTTTACATACATTGGGTGATTCTACACATGCAATTAGTTCAAAGCAATACACTCTGGACCAGTTTCAGCCAGAGTAAACTACTCCCAGGCACAGCATCTATACATGCACCTGAGACAGCAGCAATTTGAGCTGGGTCTGAGCAGTTTATGCCAGGGCTGCTTCTGTCCTGCTCAGCCTAAACTGGCAGAGGGCACAGGAGGTCAGCCCGAGGCTCTGAGTGGTAGTGTTGGGTGTCAGAGGAGCTGGCTGGGGCACATGGATATTGAAAGTGCAGAGCCATGTGGCTAGACAGCACACAAGAATCTTTTCCCCTGCTGCCTGGGCTGACCAGGTGCAATTTACATCCATAGCCAGCATCCACACATGCATTTAATTTCAGCTAATTACCGCACCATAAAATAATACTGACCCTGACAGTACTGTCTTTCAGTGGCTTTAATTAGTTTACTGCAGCCTAATAATGTCACATGTACACATGATGACATTTTACTCTGAAGCTAATTAGTATACTCTGCAGTTAAATACATGTGTAGATGCAGCCACTGTCAAGCAGTAGCAACACTAAGTCTAAGGTATCAGCTATTTTGGTTGCTTCTAAAATGCATCTATTTGCTATAGATGGATAAGTATTAAGCATCTGAAGTCCTCAGAGCTAGAATTCAGAGATCTGACTGTCTTCAAATGCTTTTGAAAATCTAGACTGAAGAGCCCAGGTGCTATATCTGAAAGGGAAGAATGGAATAAAGGTTACAACAATACCTTAATCGGGAAGCAGGGTGACTGATAGGTGCAACTGGTCTCACAATTAATGTTTTTACTGTTGTGGCCTTCACCAGCAGCAGGGGCCAAGTCCAAGTCATGGTTCACCCACTGACCCCATTGCATGAAAAATAAAGAGAGCTTCTGGTCATGAGTGATGTTCTCATTGGCTGTGTGAGCAATTTTGCTGGACACATTTCGAACCTGCAGGAATTCAAAACAGAAACTTACGTAGAGGACATAGTAAACATAAGCAACCCCAGAAAGGAAGTACTGTGACTTACAGGTGGTTTGTTACAATACTGAGAGTACCAGACACAAGCTTTGTTGTGAAATTCAGGTTCTGAAGCTATATGATTGTTAGGGATGCAGCCTTCAGTCATCCACATGGAACTGCGCAAATAAATGTCTTGCTGTATTTTCCCATGCTTTCCTTCACCCACAAAGTCAACTGTTCTCCTTCAACCCCCTTCCTAAAACTCCCTTACTCTAGAGGCATATGAAGCTCTTGCCCAAAGCAGTCAGGCAGTGGCCACAGTTCACCAGCTGCGTATCTACCTCTAGATAGTATGCAGAGTGAAGTGGTGGAGATTTTAAAAGGAAAAACACCCAAGTCAAGTGAAAGGGACTAAGAGCCTTGTAAGGCCCCATTAGCACTAGATCAGGGTAAATGACCTCACAGAATTGCCTTCCTATTTATTAATGAAGCCACTAGAATTAGCAGCAACAGTGCTGTAAAGCAGTGGTGTCCAATAGGCCTGTGTGAAGTGGCTGGTTTTCACTTTGGATTCGGCCGATTCAGGAGACAGTGATTCGATTCAGTGATTAGAATCACTGTCCTGAATTGATTCAGCCTAATCTAATTCAGAGATTCAGCAGCAGCCAAATCTCTGAATCAGCCAGGCCAGGCCCATCCCC